GGCAAATTATTATCTGAATCGCAATAGATTGGGGAAGGGGGAGGTGCAATGAGACCTGGGTGAGCTTGCACCACAGTTACTGAAAGTAAGCATGCAGATGCAGCAGAGGATGGAGAAGGCAAAATGGTATTTTGGGCTTCATAGTGAGAGGATTTGAGTACAGGAGCAGTCTTGCTGCAATTGTAGAGGGTTTTGGTGAGACCACACCTGGAATATTGTGTGCAGTTTTGGTCTCTTTATCTGAGGAAGGATGTTCTGGCAATGAAGGGAGTAAATGGTTGATCAGACTGATTCCTCAGATGGTAGGACTGATGTGTGAAGAGAGACTGGATCGGCTAGGACCGTATTCACTGGAGTTTTGAAGAACAAGGGGAGATCTCATAGAGACGTATAAAAGTAGAGCCCTCTTGTGGCGGAAAGACCTGGGTTCAAATCCTGCCTGCTCCTGAAGTGTGTCATAACATCTCTGAACAGGTTGTTAAAATTATAGGTTAGATTAAGAAAAAAATATAAACTGATTAAATTCTTAACAAGACTAGACAGGTAAATGCAGAAAGGATGTTCCCAGTTACCAGGAGGTCCAAAACAAGGGGCATTCTCGAAGGATACAGGGTTGCCCATTTAGGACTGAGATGGGGAGGAATTTATTCACCCAGATAGCAGTGAACCTGTAAATTCTCTGCCACTGAAAGCAGTCGAAGCCAAAATATTGATACTTTCAATAAGGAGTTAGACATAGTTCTTTGAGCTGAAGGGATCAAAGGGTATGGAGAGAAAGCAGGAACAGGTATGGAGTTGGATGATCGTATTTAATGATGGAGAAGGCTCATAGGGCTGAATGGCCTACTTCTATTTTCTACAATTAAATGAATCTGTTTTCCATCTTGTCTTTTGCTGCTCATCAATATCACAACAATTCCCTGATGTGATCAGCTGGCATGTCAAATAGAAAAGAATTAAGGTTCAACAAAGTCACAATTTAACCATTCAAATGTCAAGACATTGACGTAACAGGAAATAGGTGTTAAGATCTGCCATAAAACAATAAAGATGTGAAAGAATGACCTTGTCTTCCAGCTGTTTGAATTCAGTCAGGTCCAGGTGTTGTGAATTTTGTTCTGATTAGAACTGTTGATGCTTTGCATGGAAGGTGTTTATATATTTTGAGTACTGTTCCTTTTTGTTTTGTTTGACAGGTTGCTGAATGCCAACAAGATTAACTGTCTGCGAGTAGATGCTTTTCAGGATCTCCATAATTTAAACCTCCTCTCTCTATATGACAACAAGTTACAGACCATTGCCAAAGGCACTTTTGCACCTCTGCGTGCTATCCAGACTCTGTATGTATTCCTTCATAATGTCAGCTACATGGGAAAGTTGGATTTTGTTGAGATGTGAAAATAGTGTATGAAATAATTCATGATATTTATACATTTTTAAAATGCAAAAGAGAAGAGAAAGTCCTATCTCTTGGTCTCCTCTGAGATATGCACTGAACTAAGACTAGGCTTATATAACCTCAACTTCTGGCAATGTTTCAGGTTACCTTGTTACCTTTTGAGAAGTAATCGTCCCCTAATTATAGGATAGGTAATAGGTAAATTCTGCCCCTCCATGGTATGGTCCATGTAGCACAAAGGAACTGTGCAATCTATTAAAGCATGGGTATGTTCCTCAACAGGTTTCTGGTTTTCCAGGAAGTTGAAAATTAGACACAAGTGCAAGTCACAAATTCTAGTTTAACTAATTAATTGCAATGAGTAGAGAGAGGTAATATCATTTCATGTTCTGTCGGCAGTTTTTTTTGGAATCATAAATTAGTGCAACACACAATAAAGCCTTTGGTGAATTGAGTCTGCAATGACTGCTTCGGAGAACAAACCAGTCAGCTTGATTGCCCAATTCTTACCTCATGACCATGCAATTATTTCTGCTTCAAATGTTACCAGTTTCCATTTGAAGAAAACAATTGAATATCCATCTGCCCTGAAGGAAAGAAAGATGAGGATATGAACCCAATCTAGCAAAAAACATTATAATGATCTGTGAAATCTTCAATAGATATGGAAAAAGGAAATGTTTAGATAAGATGCAAGTGGGTCTATTACAGGCAGAGTCAGTAGAATTTATAATGGGAAGTAAAGAAATGGAAGAGAAACTGAATGATTACTTTGGGCAGAATCTTACAGGGCTGTGGTGAGAGTGTGGTAGAATCAGATGGGAAATCCGGCAAGGACTATCTCAATGTCAGGAGCATCTTATTGCATTGTTTATGCTTTTGTTAAGCAGCAAAGTGAGTTTCTCAAGGCAGTATTAGGTTAACACTTCAGGGGGATTATTGCTTGTTAAACACCTCATTGACAGACCAACTTGCCCCTTCAATATAAGGCTTTCATTCTTACTAAACACGTCCAACATCTTGACATTAACATGGAAATCGGAGCAAGTGCCTAGAAAATTGAACTTGCACTTACTCCAAAAGACTTCCCTGTTTTGGACCATACAGCATCTCAGGGCACATCAGTGTGCTGCGTCAATCTCACACCTACACCATATGCCAGTAGATAATACAGCAAGCACACTGCACGTGCAGAAAGCAGGCAGCATGCGTCCGAATCTTGGCAGAGTGGCACTCACCGAAGTTCATGAAAGTATTGGTCAGTCAGAGAGTCTGGGCATAGGAAGTCAAGGGCATCTTCTGATACTAGTCCAGAAGATGTACCACGGTCAGGTGTCCAGTTTGGGTGTGCTCACTCAGGGGGTACACGCTTCTTTGGACCGGGGAGTAGGTCACAATCAATCCGCTTGAGAGCTATGAGGTCAGGGACACATCAAGTCTTTAGTCAGGGGTCTGGGCACTTCTCATCTGGGGCTGTCTAGTTTGGTTGCCCAAATGTGGACAACAGTATCTGCAAGGAAGCATGGAGTTATAAACCTTAGATGGGAAGGGGCTCATACAGGAGGACGTCCATCCTGGCTTCAAAGTGCACAGTCTATAACCACACCTAATAAAGCTACCTCATGTGCCAGGGACTGGGCAGGTGCAGCTCAAACAAATGGGTTTTCTAAGTACCTGGGGAGTTGTGAAGACTATGGGATTTACAGGCAGGGCTATCCAGGAAGGTATTTAAATGTTTGGGTCTTTACCAACAGATAGTTACAAGTGTTGGTATCCACTGGCTGAAGAGTGCGCAATGTCACCCTCCATCATGCTGGAATTCAAAAATATACGATGGGGAAGAAAATGACTGTGACCACTGTCAGATTGGGCAGGATATGTGATTTGACCTAAATGGGAGGGGGCTGTAAGTTCTACTGATGTGATGACTTTTAGTGGGAAACAATATTACACACAGACCCATGCAGTGAACAGACACAAATGTACAGAGCCCTAAATCCTGACCATCCTAATGTATTGGCTCCCAGGTGCAGCAAGTTATAAAGAACGTGAATGGAATGTTAACCATTATTGCAAAAGGATTTAAGTACAGGAGAAGTGAAATCTTGCTATGATTGTATAAGAAGTTTGTTTAGACAGTACCTGGAGTACTGTGTGCAGTTTTGGTCTCCTTATCCCAGGAAAGATATTATTGGCACAGAGGGAATATGGTGAAGACACCCCAGAATTTTTCCTGCAATGGCAGGACTGTATTATAAAGAGAGATTTATCAAGCCAGGCCTGTATTCTCTGGAGTTTCAAAAAACAAGCAGTGATCTCATTGAAAATGATGAAATACTGAAAGGAATAGATGGGATAGGTGCAGGTAAGATGTTTCCCCTGGTTTGGAGTCTAGAACTAACGAGTACAATTTAAAAAGAAGGGAATGATATCTGTTCCTATGATGCTGCTTGGCCTGCTGTGTTCTTCCAGCCCTGCACCTTGTTATCTCGAATGATATTTAAGATTGGGATGAGGAGTTTTTTCTTAACTCAGAGAATTGAAATCTTCGTAATTCTGTCCCACAGAGGGCTATGAAAGTTCAGTCTTTGAGTATATTTAATTTAGATATTTTTTGATCTTATGGGTGGAAATTTCAAATTACCCAGTTTAAACCCTCTGAGCTCTTTATTTGACCTCTCTGCGAACCATTTGTACAACTCCCTCCTGCCTGAGATGTCACCTGACATTCCAAAAATGTTAAACCCTCCTTTTTACCCTGTCTGTTATGCCTTCACATTATTAAACTAACCTGGTACAAGCTTTAATCCTTACATTACTCAACTTAACATACTGCACTTTTAAAGCAACTCCTCAGTCCTCAACACAGTTTGGAGCTGGAGGAACACATCAGGCCAGGTAGCATCAGAGGAGCAGGAAAGCTGACGTTTCGGGTCGGGACCCTTCTTCAGAAATAAGGGTCCCGACCCGAAATGTCAGCTTCCCTGCTCCTCTGATGCTGCCTGGCCTGCTGTGTTCCTCCAGCTCCAAACTGTGTAATCTCTGACTCCAGCATCGGCAGTTCTTACTGTCTCCTCAGCACTCAAGATGCTTTTACAGATCTCCATCGTGTTTCCCAACACCATTGGTTCTTACATGAACAGTAACTTTTGGCCAATCAACCTCTCTTTCCAGTACCTTTTCTATCCTAATTGTTATGTCGCTTGCCCTAACACAAATAAGGCAATGTATCATTCAGAACTCTCAGAAACAGCTACAGAAAAGTATTTCTATTTCTAGTCAGAGAAACCCCAAAAATGACCGTAAATGTTTTCTTCTCTTTATAATCATACTTACCCCTTCCTTAGGAAACCACTTGTTTCATGGTATCGCTCATCATTTCAATTTTCAAGAATTATTTCCTTAGTTAATAATAGTGGGTGTACATGAATAATGCAGTTCTTACATCTCAGATAATGAAAGCAGTGTACGCCCTCAGAGCTTCAGTCTGTCTTAAATAATTCAGTAGGAAGCATTGCAGTTCTGCCATTTCTCATCTACCCAGGTAATAAGTGGTTTTGAATGTGATACAGGACCGACAGTCACTGTAGCAAATACTAAGTTGTACACTGTAAATTCTTAATGTATCGGGGCCCCAGTAAATGCATTACAGCTGCAAAGAACAATTGGAATATTAGCTGCTTTACCTCTCCCTTTGAAGAGCTCTTTGCACCGCTGTTTTACATTCTTTTGACAGAGTCAATACATTGTTTTGACTTCTCTATTTTTGTTGTTGTTGTTTGTCTTCATAAAAGGCATCTGGCTCAGAACCCATTTATTTGTGATTGTCATCTGAAATGGCTTGCGGACTATCTGCACGCAAACCCCATTGAAACAAGTGGTGCCCGCTGTAGCAGTCCTCGCCGTCTGGCAAACAAGAGGATCGGACAGATCAAGAGCAAGAAGTTCCGCTGCTCAGGTAATTGGATTGTTTGAACTTTATTATTTGTTTATCTAGTAAAATTTATTGCACTGTCTTGACTTGGAGCACCTCTCATATGGATTCTGATAATTCATCTGTTTTACTGTGAATTGTTAAAGCTGTCAGAAGCTTTTTGGCCCTTTTGTTTCCGACTCAATGCTAACTGCAGTGTTTCAGTCTCGTGCTGTTTGCTTTGCTTTTTTTTAGTGTTGACGAGTTGCAACCTGTGGATTTAGTATAAAATAAACTGTTTCCTTTTCCTTCGGCTGCTAACATTCAGGTGCATCTCTTCTGTCTTTTCTCTCTCTCTCTCTTTTTTATGTTTATAGCAAAAGAACAATATTTCATTCCAGGTAGGTTTACTTTGCAGCAGAACTGACCAGCTCTGGATTTCTCTTAGGATTTGGTGGAGTGTTGCATGCTGTAGCAATTGGGTGAAACTCCCCAATAGACAGTGATGTAGTTTCTTCCTCATCCTTCAGTAGTTGAATCTGCTCCTGAAAGGAGATTTGCATGAAACCTTTTAATCCGAGTAGCTAAATCCTTAAGTCCATGTTTCTGTGTGTCAGCTATGCAGTCGCCATGCGTCATTGTTGTTTTATTGTTCTCTGATTCTATTCCCACTTCTAGTCTTAGGTCGTTATTTATTGGAGATAGTAGCACATTATTCTTTCCTGTCTTGATGGCATTAAACATTTGTTGTTGCATTTTGTACATTAAAGCTTCAACAAGTTTTTGTTCATATTGCTTGGAAAAGGGTTGGGGTAATCGCCAGTGGCTGGAGGAGAAAAACTGATTACAACATTATCTAATCCCCCTGTTGCAATTCCATTGGTAGACAAAGTTCAATTTACTTTATATGGTATTTTGGAAACCACAACCATCACATAAACCAGAACGAATCATCGTGTATGCTCCAACCTTAAACTAAAGCACTTATTGCTGTGATAAATAAAATTAAGGCCCTGTTCAGAAAGCAGAACATTTCTTTGGAAATCCGGAAAACCACGCATCATTCCTTGTTCGTGAAGCTGTTTGAGTTATCTGCTCTCGGGCTGCTGTTATGCTGTCAGAATCTTGGAGCTGCTTTGAAGGAGGAATGGTTTACAAGAACAATAATAATTTGCATTGATATGGTGCTCAAAGTGAAGATACATGACTGAAAGTATTTCACAGAGTTGTTGTCAGAGAGAAAATGGAGACAGAGAGAAAGGAAATTTCAAGAGAGGTTGTCAAAAGTTTTTGTCCGCAGAGGTAGATTTTAAGTAGGGTCTTAAAGGACAAGAGGGATGTCAGGAAACAGTAAGGCTTGGAGCAAATTCCCAAATTTCCATCTGTCACACGATGGTTGAGGACACAATTACCAATGGAGTGTTGAAAGATGGGTTATGGTGTAAGGTGGTGGCTGAAGGCTTTAGTTCCTAATATTTAACTGAAGAAAACTGGCTTATCCAACACTCGACTTTGGACCCTGATCTGAGCTTCAGTCCAGTCTCCTTACTTTAACAATCTATCTATTTCCAGCTCAGTAACATCCCCGACTTCATTCTCTGTCTCAGTCCAACAGCTGGTGAAATCTCCATCCTTGTCTTTGACATCACTGGATTCAACAATTCTCTTGCTCTCCTGGTTGACCAGCTAGTGATATAATTGAATAGGCCATAGGCTATTACAACTCTATAACTAATAATGTATTTCTATATCCTAGATTGAAAGAAAACATCAGACAGAAAAAGTGTTTGGAGAGAGAGAAAAAGAGAGAGAGCATCCTTCATGACGATAGAAAGCTATATTTAGTGAATTTAAATGAAGTAATGTTACTACAGGAGTGGAAGAGCATTACTTAATAATAAAGTGTTAACAGCCTCTAACAGCATCATTATAGACACTCACAATCCAAAGATTCTAAGGAAAAATATCTAACTATGTTAATAGCAGTATTAGTCACAAAAAACAAAGTTGCTAGAGAAATGGCTGCATCCAGGATCTGAAGTTAGATCACAGTCCCTGGGACACAGCTGAAAATCAGAAGGACTCCAATAGCAGGATACAGTCTCAGAAGACTTCAATGCGTAGCTAACAAGCAGGAAGACTCAAAGGCAGGACAGAATCTTGAAAGACATTAAACACAAAGAATCAAAACAGGATGTCTCCAAGAAGTGAGAAAGAATGTCCGAAGACATCAAAGCCACGTCACACATCATGATACTCTAGAGAATGAAAACACAGAAATGGAGCACGTAGACAGAAAGAAGGGAAACCTCAGGTCCTTTTCCACATTAATGTGGTGCTATAGCTGATCAGAATAGTGGCACCAATAAAGACTGCCATTACCACAACATTGGAAAATATGGAGCACCTCTAACAAGGCTACGAGGGAGATCTCTGAGAGCACCACTTTCACCAATATAGAACTACATCAGGCTTTCATGTGAAGGAGCAGCGATACTGAGTCAGGATCATTCTATTAGCTGTCGGTCAGATAGCTGATGATGCTTTGGGTAAGGCAGAGTGTGGAAGAAACTACAATGAGGCAAAAACCATCTGACTGAAGAGAGTTATGGTGAGATTTATGGCAAAATCGGACAAGAGTTCAGCGAGCCTGATCGGAGCCTGTGTGCGTACTCACAGCATCCCTGCCTTGCCTTGAATGTTTGCACTTTGCCCTCAGCCAGAGATACCAGGTTCATATTACTTCAGTTTTGTTTTGCTGTTTAATGCAGACACAAAGCCAGGAAGCATGTCATGGATGTGAGCAGGCCTCAGTCAAGTCAAAAGGGATAGCTTTCGCTCAGGGAGTCATAGAGTGATACAACATGGAAACAGACCCTTCAGTCCAACCAGTCCACGCTGAACATAACCTCAAACTAAACTAGTCCCACCTGCTTGCTCCTGGCTCATATCCCTCCAAACCTTTCTTATTCATGTACTCCCAGCACTGTAAGTCAAGGGCAGCCTCTGATACCAGTCCTTGGGCTTGGACACAGACAGGGGGCTGCTTGGGGCAGCCAGAGTCAGGATGCCCTCTATATAAGGGATGAGGAAGTGAATGCTGGGAGCCAGTCACCCATCTTGACTCCTTCTGCACTATGGTGGGTCATTTACCAAAGGGAGGTGAAAACGAGTGGAAAGCTGTTACTTTTGATGCAAGTGGGGATGGTTCCCAAGAGAATGAGCAGGCAGCACAGAGGGCAGGCAGGGTTAGTGGTGTTGAGGGTTAGAGTAGGTGACAGTGAGCAAGAGAAGATGTTGCAAGCAAGAGTGAGAGTGGAAGAACATGGAAACAAAATTGTGTCTCACAAACTTGATTGAGTTTTTTGAATAAGTTACCAAAAAGGTTGATGAGGGCACAGCATTAGACATTGTTTATACGGATATTAGTAAAGCCTTTGATAAAGTTCCACATGATAGACTAATTAGAAATGTTTAATCTCGAGGGATTCCGGGTGAGCTTGCCATTTGGATACAAAATTGGCTTGATGGTAGGAGACAGTTGTGGAATTTGTTTTTTCAGACTGGAGGCCTATGACCAGCAGTGTTCCACAGGGATCAGTACTGGATCCACTTTTGTTCCTCATTTATATAAACAATTTGGATGAGAATATAGTAGGGGTGATTAGTAAGTTTGCAGATCATACCAAAATTGGTGGTACAGTGGCCAGTGAAGAAGATTATCTAAAATTACAAAAAGATCTTGATCAGTTGGGTCAATGGCTGAGGAGTGGCAGATGGAGTTAATTTGGATAAAGGCGAGGATTTTTTTTGGTAAAACAAACAAGGGCAGGACTTGTACAATTAATGGTACGGTCCTGGCTAGTGTTGTAGAACAGAGATACCCAGGGGTTCAGGTACGTAGTTCTTTGAAATTTGCATCACAGGTAGACAGGGTGGTTAAGAAGGTGTTTAGCATGGTTGCCTTCATTGCTCAGATCTTTGTGTATAAGAGTTGGGACACCATGTAGAGGTTGTACATGATGTTGGTGAGGCCTCTTCTGGAGTACTGTGTGGCAGTTCTGGTCACCCTGCTATAGGAAGGCTATTATTACATTGGAGAGGGTTCAGAAAAGATTTACCAGGATGTTGCTGGGAATAGAGGGTTTGGGTTATAAAAATAGGCTGGATAGCCTGGGACTTTCTTCATTGGAGCACAGGAGGTTGAGGGGCGACCTTATAGAGATTTATAAAATCATAAGGGACATAGATAATATGAATAGCAATATCTTTTCTCTAGGGTGGGTGAGTTCAAAGCTAGGGGGCATATTTTTAAGGTGAGAGGGGAAGTTTTAAAAAGGACATGAGGGGCAACTTTTTTACACAGAGAATGGTTTGTGTGTGGAATGAACTGCCAGAGGAAGTGGTGGATGCAGGTACAGTTATAGCATTTAAATATATTTGGATAATATATGAATAGGAAAGATTTGGATGGATATAGGCCAAGCACAGGCAAATGGGACTAGTTTAGTTTGGAAACATGGTTGGCATGGACTAGTTGGACGAAAGTGTCTGTTTCCATGCTGTGTAACTCTATGACTCTATGAAACTTGCTGGGAGATTGGCATAATAGCAGAGATAGAGTAAGTGTAAAATATTGAAGAGCAGATGGTGTCATGCTGGCACAGTGGAGTAGAACATTGACCTTCTTCCTATATTGTTGGACATTCCTCCAGCTAGCCAAGACGGCAATGATCCAGATGGCAATCTTGGATCAGGCTGGCATGGTGTTGTGTTGTAGCTTTCTCTGCTGGGCCTGGGGGAGAGGATGTCCCACATCTGCCAGAGGGTGTGAGGTAGGTGGGTAATGAGATGCCTTTGGTAAAATATGGCAAGAAATATCACTGGACCTCGCAGTGAGAATCCCTCCAAAAATCACAACACAATTCGCACTTAGCAAAAAAAAATTAAGAATCAGCTTTACAGAATAGGAGGCCTTTATTAAACCATTTGGCTTGTGCTTTTAAACCAAAAAAGAAATTTAGTCATTGGACAAAATTCAATCA